CCCCTGCTAAATGATGAACCATCCAGACTCTCAGGTCTTCAGGGACTGGTCAGCTTTCTGTCCCCAGAGTCAGACTAAACATGGAGAAGCAGAGTTCAGTTATTATGCTCCAAACATCTGGAACAAACTCCCAGAAACCTGCCGGTCCGCTGCAACTCTGACTACTTTTAAATCCAGGCTGAAGACTTTTCTTTTTCCCGCTGCTTTTAATTGAACTATTCACATCTTAAACTGCACTGTAACTTTTATCCATGTATTTTTATTTTAATGTTTATTTTATTATCTTTTCTTTTTAATGACTGATTTTAAATGACATTTTCTTAATGTCTTTCATTTTTTGTAAAGCACTTTGAAATTGCCTTGTGTTGAAAAGTGCTTTATAAATAAACTTGCCTTCCCTAGTTCTGTTCTGATCACATGCGGTCAAACCAATGTGTCATGGTTGACGTGTGCACCATTGCAGAATGTGTATGTTATTCTCCACTTTTCCTGGAAAAGAAAGATAAAATATTCCCTATTAATATCCTTATTTTTTTAATTTAGAAAATCTTACATTTTAAAATTTAAATATTACATTCATTTTAGACCATTTTATTCTTGAAATACAGTAACCGTTTAGAAAAATGTGGAAAAGCTAGATCAGACAATACAGAAATTAAAAAACCTCTAAAAGTGTAAAGACTAAACTTACTAAAGAAGTCTACTGTGGACTACATCTGTTAGATCTGGGATGTCGTTTAACTCGTTATCAACATTTAGTTTTACAACAATTTGGCCTAAGTGGTGCCCAAAAACTGCTTGTGTGCAAAAAGGAAGACCCTGTTATTTCTGCATGTGATGTAGCCTCAGTGTAAGTCTGACTGATTGGGCATTGATTAACATGATAATGGAAGCATCAACAAGTTGTTGTTGTTGTTGTCTCAGAAATGATTGACACATTCTCCGTGTGAGTTCTCTTGCTAGTCATGTCGGCCACATGTGAGTGGCAGCGTGTCAATGATGTGATCGCTAATAGGATCAGATCTGTTGTGTTTGTGAGTGTGTGTGATTTTGAGCGTGGGGATCTTTAACTTTCTGCCTCAAAGTGCAGCCACGGCAGAAGCACCACATAGTTTAAGGCGTGGTTTAGGGGATAAATGCAGAGTAAAGCAGAGCACGCTACGGGGGCTTGTCTGGTGACCAGAACACACACACACACACACACACACACACACACACACACACACACACACACACACACACACACACACACACACACACACACACACACACACACACACACACATGGCAGATTATGGGGGTCCCACCGGATTAGTTTTCTGTGTCTGCTGCTCCCTAACAAGCACGTGCCCCAGACTCCTCTACACACACTCTCGCATATACTCATACGGAGCCATCAGGTGCTAATGTCATAGCTTGAGAAACAATACAAAAAGCTGAGGAACCAAAAATGTTTTAGCTATGGAATTGAACCAACTTCACATCTTGAGTTTTTCTCGTTACTACCATAGTTGTGGTTAAAAACGTCTGTTTCCCAAGCAGTATTCTATTTGTTTCTAGCAATACCCCCTCCTCACATTCCCACACTCACTCACAAGGGGAGATACCAGGAATACCCAGAGTCAAGGAGCTTGTAGAAGTTAAGGGTCTAATTCAATGGCCCTGCGAAAGAATAGTGGGCAATTTGTCTATAACTGTGTTGGGGTTTTAGGGATTTCAACTGGCAACTTTACCCGAGAATTTTTTTTCCCTAATCTGCAGCGTGCCAACGCCCAATAGTGTCCACGGTCGTTTGAACAGTAGCTGCTTTGTCTCCCAAACAGAAAACGCTGATACTGCGACTAACTGCTATTGTCCTGGAGTACACACACACGCACGCACACACACACGCATACACATGCACATGCACACACACACTCACACCCATCTATCCACATCCATCTATCTCTATCTCTCAACACACTGGCATAGTTAGAGGGAGAGATGCACAATGCATTCCAGAGATTACATTTTATGTTTTGCCCAGCAGGCCTCCAACACACACAATACCAAACACACACGCACTCTCACACACACTTTCCGTGTCCATTATTCTATCATCCATCTGTCCTCCGATGATGGCATAAAATGTATTCCAATGTAATAACTTAATCTTGTCCAGACTTTTTTCTGCCTCTTTTTAACAGTGTGTGTTTTCAAATGGGAGTCTTAGTGTCACATGGTCTTAATGCTGTTTCTAAGAATGTCATTAGTATTGCTTTCAGCAGGATTTGGGTGTCACACGGTTAAGTAGCTCTTCATAGAATTCATTAGGTTTCAGACATGAGTCAAGTAGTGTTTGTGTATATTAGGTGCACTTACTTTGGGTTTGACACAGAGGGGCCTTTACTGACTCACTGATAAACAAAATGCGGACAAGCACGGCATCTCTCTAGCTCTTACACCATCACTGAATTTCACAAGTCAAGCAGTTTGGTACTGGTGATGTCAGGAATGAATGTTGCCAGGGATACAAGCTGTAGAATGCGAAGTAGTGTTTGACCTCTTTTACCATTCCCGCACCATTTTGGCATAGATGTGGTGAACATTATCAGGAAGCTGAGATTCTGAAGTTTACCTTGAGATACAGCACTTTGTGTCAACTTGTTCGAGACATACATATAGAAATAAAGATTATTTAAAAAAGCTGTACAATTGCATAAAGGCTTATAATATTACAATGAAGGTATATGATGGTCATTCCCATTCTTAATTATGTCTAGTAATTAGTTTTAGCCATTTTTGAGTAGATTCCGTTTTATTATATAGATTAGTTAACAAATGTAACAATTTGAATGTATCAATGTATCAATTAAGACATTAAGGACATTAAGACACCAAGAATCTGAGAAGAACCCACAGAAAATATTATGCTGGGATTTTGTATCAAGAACTTACAAAAATGTGGAGACTTCTGCAAGACATCTAATTTCTGTGATTGGTGGTAAACTTTTCAGTTCTGTAAACTGCTCAGAATCCCCCTTATTGTAAATATAATTACGAAAGCCATTCCCTCTCTGTATGTGCTTTGTCTCGAGTTTGTAATTGTAAAGTTTCATCAGGCTGTGATTATCCAAGAGGTCAAAACAGCTCCATGTATACAGTGAGTTCAGGTTTCAAAACTGCTCTCAATACAATTAAACAGCTACTATGGGATAACATCATCACATAAGAATGCAGTTGTGCTCGGTGAACTCACAAGAGTCTCCAAGACCGCTTGGTGAACCCACTGTGGGGAAAGCAAAAATATCATTCTTTGCCCCAAACTTAGTAGGATTTCAATTTCAATATATTTTCTCTGATATGTCGAGGTGAGTGGGCCCCTTTTTATCCTTGGCTAAATGTAGCCTTTCTTTGGAGCATTGTTTTTCCTCCTTCTTGACAAACACTAGCTGGTTGGTACCAATGGAGCCCAAAGACAAAATGTCAGCTCTGCCCCCTGGCAAGCTGTATCATTTTTAAAAGGGTGAAATACGTTTTTGCATGTAGTCCAGAGTAAATCAACGATTCCCTTGGCAATATGTCCTGATAAGGGAAATCATTCTAATTTCCCAAAACCTCTCCCTTGATAATGTCTATCATGATAGGCATCTACAGATTTTGTGACAATTGTTGTTAAGCTGTGCCTTGCTTGAAGGCACGCTGGCACATAAAGGTCACATTCTTTGGGCGTTCATAATGCAACTACACTGTGAGAGCGTGAATGCGATCGAGTATAGGAAAATACCACAGATGTTTTCAGCTGTCCCAGGACGAGAAGAAAAATGCTGTCTTTCATCCTCTTTCCTTCCACTTTCACCACGCTCCCTGCCCTGTCTGCAACTCTGTCTGCAACTCTGTCTGCAACTGTGTGTGTGTGTGTGTGTGTGTGTGTGTGTGTGTGTGTGTGTGTGTGTGTGTGTGTGTGTGTGTGTGTGTGTGTCACTCCTTGTAACCAGCTGCTGACCCAGATGAAACTCGTTGTGTGACATAATGACATCCTCAACTCTTGTGTTCTTGTGTAAAAAGAGCTAACAACAGCTAATGTTTGAAACCGCCATGAGCTCAGGTGCAAACAGCTGTGAACTAGAAGGCTGCATTGAAAAACTGATAAAACTGACATAGATTTAATATATGTGTTATATATATTATATATTGTCTTTATCTTCCATTCTGTCCTCCTCCCATTTGAAGGGAAACATTCATGGCTCGGTAAAGAAAGAGACCATGTGGCTCATTTATAAAATATAGTCCAGACTCAAATGGAAGTTGCGTGCCATGAAAGATTTATATTTGTGCCAAATTCAGTGGAGCAGTCAGATTTTTCTCCATCTCTCTGTGATATACTGTACCAGTAGCCCAAAGATAGTGATATCATTATACTAAGTATAAAATAAAGATTGGAAACAACTTTTATTTTTAAAATACATTTTCCTTTTTGGGCATATACAGTATTACAGATCCAAGTAAAGTAGATCTTTTTTATTATTCCTGGTAAAAGTCTTAGTTTTTATAATTCTTTCTCCTGTAATACTTCAAATCTAATGCTTGTCCATCGCTCTCCTTCCTCGCTCTGCAGGTTGACGTGTCACCATGACGACAGAAGCGGGCTCTGAGACAGAGGTGAAGGAGAAAGCCGAGGAGTCAGCCGCTGAGACCGACCAATCGGAGAAGGCCTCAGAAGAAGCTCCGGAAGTGACTGCCGCCGAGGGAGAGGAGAAGGAGAAAGACGGGAAGGAGGGAAAAGGAATAGCTCGATACCTGCCAACATGGCTTAAGAAGCAGAAGTCTCAGGTAAAACCCTTACATACACCTTCTATACTTTACTCTGGTTTTATCTTCTAAAGTGTACTTCATTGAAGATAGCATGGCAAGAGATCGCTTTACAATGTTTTCTTTTTCCATTGGATTTTAGAATTTTAAAATACTTTTCATGTTTTTGTTCAGCAGTATCATCTCCACACATCACTTTTAGACATTTTGAAGCACAAAAACAATTGTCAGAAGTAAATATCAAACGTAATGCCATAAACAAACCACATCCAATCACAAAGCTTCTTGTCACCAACACTGGACTGAAGGCAAACTCGTGGCGGTGTGATGATTAGTTGGCTTTTTTGTCACTTTCAATGAGGTACACCCCTTTTCTAAGACAGGCAAAAGCTTCAGAAATGCACGAGTGTGGTATTTACTGACATGAGTTATGTCCTAAAACACAACATGAACATTTCGTTAGCTTATGTTACTGTTATTTCATTCATTTTATCTGGATGATAGAACCCAGAAGTTCTACAATGCTAACTCATTCCCGGATTACGGACTCATTCCGGCACACCTATATTTTGTTGGGTTTTAAATGTCTGTTTTTTTCTCCCCTTACTCTCAAAGACCTCCCCGACAAAGGAGGAGCCAACCAACGGGGAAAGCGATAGCAAGGACGCACAGGAAGAGGACGGGCCTGTCCCAGAAGTGAACGGTCACGCAGAGGAAGAGAACGAGGCAGTAAAGTCGGACCAAGTGAAGGAAAAAGAAGCAGAATCTCATTCCACAGCCAGCGCAGAAGACACCGAGGTACGGCTCATACGTAGCAAACGTAATAAGTACAAAGGGGTCTCCATCTAGTCTGCATGCAAGATCACACATGATAAAAGTTTTGGTTGAGGCATGATCGCTCACTATTTATTCTCCCAAAATATTGGTTATTAAACAACATGGATAGAACTGTGGAAGCAAAATGACAAACTAAACAAAAACATCCAATATATTTAAAACAAAAACATAGTTATTTACAGCAAAAATACCCTGTACTTGTTGGTAAAATGTTACTTTTTTTTTAGCTTGATGCGTAATAATTTGAATGTAAAATGGGATTATTAATACTACTTTAATATCTGTATGCTGGATATAAAGATAAAAACAGCAGCAGGCTATCGTAGCTTAGCATAAAATAATGGAAACAGGGGGAAACAGTTAGCCTGGCTCTGTCCAACTATAACAAAATCCACCTTGCCAACAATTGAAATCACACCTATTTAGATTTTATTTGTACAAATAAATGAATAGGTAAGCGGCTATTGTAGTTCACTGGGGTTAATGTTGATTTCCAATGTCAATATGAGAATATGCACTGCTGACAGGTTGCACATAATCATAGATGTTAATGGACCACACACAGCAAGCTGGTGAATGGTACTTTGCCTAAACAAATGTCTTCCTTTGTCAGTCCGACATATTGCTGCTGACACACACTCTCATTTTTAGATTTAACAATAAGCCAGTGTTGATATGTTGTTAGTCAAATAGCATCTCACACAATAGAAGGTACGCTGACAAACTCACAGCAGCACAGTCCATCTGTTTAAAACTGTTGCTCAGCCAAGGAGAGAGAGAGAGAGGCAAACACACGCACAGCCATTCTCCCTCTTACACACATGCACACGTAAACTGTTCCATCCAGTGATCACATTAAGCCACCCAGGCCCACCCAGTGACATCAACATTTCAGTAATCAGGCCAAAAGGAACGCCTGCAGATTCTAAGAGCAAATTCAGATTAGAAAAAGGAGAGTGATAGAGATAGCAGTACTCTCTCCTACTTCGTTTTGAACAAACGGTCACATTTTATATGATTTTTCTTTCACCACGAAACAAAAAGTGGCATTTGTATAGAAGATGGAGTGGTTTTTCAGTTGGAAACCATGTGTGTATCTGTTTTAACACAATTTATCTCCTTTTTTGACTTTGCAAATCGCTATCTCCTTCAAGCCTGCAAAGGAGGAGAAGGTGGAAGAGAGTGCTGAGAAAAGTCCCGAGGAGACCGCAGTGACAGAAGAAGGAGAGGGAGCGGAGGAGGAGGAGGAGAAGAAGGAGCAGGAAGGAGAAGGTGAAGCACAGGGAGAAGAAGGAGGAGGAGAGGAGGGCCATACATCTATTTTCCAGTCTCCTCTTCGACTGGTGAGGAAGAACAAGATGAAGCTGTCGGTGTGTCACGTGACGCTCCTGGATGGGACAGACTTCACCTGCGAGGTGGAGGTAAGACTCCACATTTCTTTGTTGATAGTCGCAACGTAGAGCATAAACATGGAGGAGAACAGAAGATGGGGAAGGTTTACTATTGGATAATATCTGCAGATTCTGAGCTCGTTTTAAATGTTTTATTGAGAAGAGTTGGATTCTCAGCATGCATGGCCTCAAGAGAAGTAACCTCCTTTTTAACTAGGGATGATCCGATCGCCAATTTTGGGGCCGGAATCAGTATCGGCCGATCTCCGATCGAGTGGGCGGGGCCTATGGGTATCTTCCATTTAAAGTGATGTTTAAAACTCAGTTCATGGGGCTCATTCACTGGTGTGTAATGAAGTACATTATTCAAGTTTACATTAACTTTGAATGATAACACGGTAGAAATGAGCGGAAGCGGCCGATCGATTGGAACATCCTTATTTTGAACAGTTAACATCAGAAAACAAAGGTCCTGTCTATGAACAACACCTATAGCCTGTTCTGTAGCCAAATTATTTACACACCAAATCTTTCTGCTCCATTTTTCTTTCTGCTCATTTCTCATCCTGTGGTCGATGACTACTGAGGCCTACTTTTTCCTCTTTCATAAACTGATCAAAAAGTATTGTGATTGGTGGTTTGCTATGCATGCAGAGCCAGCATGTCACTCACAAGAAATGTACTACAATATTAGTTATGGTCAATGACCGTGGCGAGCCGTGACTTTCATACCTAGGCCCTCTGACCCCCACCCCTTCCCTCAAAAAAAAAAATAAAGTTATTACGTCACAGCGTATACTTCAGCGGAATGTCAAAACAGCGGCCCGGGGTGCAACAAGCATCAATGAAAGCGACCCTCTACCACACAGAACAACACCTGTAAATAACCCAATTTGTGTTCTTTGAAATTGAAAAGGATATTGCATTGTGTTTGTTACTTTCGTTGCAGTTGTATGTCTTAAGTGTAATTTGGCATGCTTTTATATTTGAAGGCGAGTTTACGCTGTTGACAGTTGTTGTTGTTGCTATGGAAACAAGACCATTACTCTCTCGTTCAGTTACTATAGCTGGCCCTCTGTGAATTCATAGCTGGACGTCCAATCAGCTCCTGTCATCACCTCGCAGAGACAAGCTTCTTTCATTTAACACTTCACATTCAAACAAACTGAA